GGAAGCAAAAAGAAAAGAAAATGATAAAAGAAGGATAAAATGGAAACAAGGCTTTGTAACTAAGGAGGGGAAAAGGGACAGAAGGGAGGGGAGAATACTGGGGGGGAAAGAAGAATTGAGGTACCCAGGTACAAATTCCTCATGGTAAATATGATCATTAGGTACATCTAAATTGTATCAATAAACTTAATTTTAAAAAAAAAAACCACATGATCCTATTGAAAGACACAAGCAGCATCCATTCATGATTTAAAAAAAAAAAAAACTGAAGAAAACAGGTGTAGAAGGACCTTATCTCAATCTGATAAAAGCCACTTAAGACAACCTACCACCACCACATTATTTGGGAAAAAGCTGAGAGTTATTCCTTTAAAATTAGAAGCAAGGACAAGTATGTATATACTATCACCACTTCTGTTAAAAAGGTAAAAATAAAATGATTCATGAGAAAACAGAAAATTTAGACTTACTAGCAAGGAAAATAATTTTAAAGTAGTTTGCTTCTTTCTTTCTTAAAATTACTTTAGTTTGATTTTTGTTTATTTTGAGACAAAATCTTATGTATCTCAGCCTGGCCTCAAACTCAAAACAATATCCTGCCTCAGTCTGCTTCTTTCTTTCTTAAAATTACTTTAGTTTGATTGTTTATTTTGAGACAAAATCTGATGTATCTCAGCCTGGCCTCAAACTCAAAACAATCATCCTGCCTCAGTCTCCAATGTGCTGAGATACAGGTATGCACCACCACAACTAGCTACAGCTCAAGGTAGATACAAACAGCAAATTCTTTGTAAAAAACAATAAATACCCAGTCTTCACAAACTATTTTAAAAATTAGAAGGAATACTTCCTAACTGAATATATTACACCAGTATTCCCTATATGACAAAAACATTACATGAGAAGAAATCTACAGACCAAGATCTACTATTAACATAGACAAAGTCTATCAAAAACAAACACATAAACAAAATTGGCAAGCTGTGCATAATGGCATACACCCGATTCCCAGCTACTTGGGAATCTGAAGCACATTAGATTCCACCCTATGCCATTTCGCAAGATGCTACCTGAAAATAAAGTAAAAAAAGGCTATGTACTCACTAGTAGTGTTTATATATCCTGTGTTAAACCCTCAGTTTAATGCTCAGCACCAAAAGAACAAGCAAATGAACAAAAATTACTGGCAAACAAAATCCAGCAACACACAAAAAGGATCATATGCTACAACTAAAGAGATATACTGTGTAATCAACAATGCATCCATATATGAAAATCAATTAATATACCATATGTATTAATAACCATACCATAAAATACATATGAAAATCATTTGACAAAATATAGCAAACTTAACAGATTTAAATTTCCCAAAAACAAGAACTACAAAGAATATTCCTCAACCTAATAAAAGGGTATCTACAAAAATATCTTGTTAGTACTATACGTGATGGTAAACAACTGGATCTTCTCAGATAAAGGATGTTTATTCTTGCCACTTTTATTCATCATCGTATTGGAAGTTCTAGTCATGGCAATTGAAGAAACAAAATATACTGACAGTATCCTGACTAGAAAGAGAGACCTAAAACGATCGCTATTCAAAACTTCCATGGTCTTATACATAAAAATTAGTAGAAATCCATAGCCATGAAGCACCCAATAATCCCAGCACTTCTGAGGCTAACGCAGGAGGATTGCCACAATTTTGAGGCCTACCAGGGCTACATACTGAGTTCAAGGCCAACTTGAACTATATAGTGTGACCCTGCCTCAAAAACACTGAATAAATAAACAAACAAATGAATAAAGGCAAGAATAATTAAAACTAACTAGTTCAGCAAAATTGCAGTGTACAAAATTAATGTAAAAAAATTACATCTACTTCTATATACCAGCAATGAATATCTGAAAATGAAATTAGGAAAACAATCCAATTTATATCATCAATAAGATTAAACAGAGAATTTTAACAAATAAGTACAAGATTTATACACTGATAACAATATATTATTGAAAGGAACAAAGAAGACCCAAATATACAAAAGAAATATTATGTTTATAAAACAGGATTATTTCATATTAAGATGGTAATATTCTCAAACTGAGTCAACATAATATGATAAACATGCTACAATATGGATAAACTCCAAGACATTATACTAAGTGTCGGGTCACAAAAAGACAAATACTTAAGATTCCACTTACATGTGGTAACCAGAGTAGTCAAATTCAGAGATGGAAAGAATAATGGTTACAAAACTAAGAAAACAAAGAAATTACATTCAGTGACAGTTACACAGTACTTAATACTACTGAATTTAAAAATGGTTAAAATGGTGAAGTTTGTTGCAAGTATTTTACCACAATAATCTAAATTTTTTCTAATTAAAAAAAAGAGAAATGGACTTCATCAAAACTAAAAATATTGTGGTGCAATCAATACCAACTAATTATTTTTTAAAAACCCCACAGATCAAGAAAGTTTTTGAAGTAACGTACCAAATAAGAGACTTGTATTCAGAATCTGCAAAGCACACTTATGCCATAATAAAAAGATAAATAACCCAATTTAAACGTGAGCAAAAGAGCTGGGGATTATAGTTCAGTTGGCATAAGCACCTAACTGGCAAGTACAAGGTCCTGAGTTCAATTCTGACCAAAAAAAAGTGGGCAAAGGAGTTCAACTAACATTTCTCTAAAAAAACGAATAGCCAATAAACACAAGAAAAGATACTCAACATCACTGGCCAGTAGGAAAATGTAAACCAAAACCACAAGAAAATACATTTAGCTAAAAATATATCTATAATCACAAAGATAGGAAATAAGTGCTACAAAGGACACGGAGAAACTGGAATACTCATACTGCTGGAATGCAATATGCTACACATACTTTGAAAACAATTTACTAGTTCCTCAAGTCAGTCAATAAAGAGAGCCAGTAATTCTACTCCTAGATATGTATGAAAAAGAAAGGAAAACACACATAACGAAAGCTCATACATAACTGACTGTTCATGTCCAATAATACACATAAATGCCAAGTGGTTATGACCACTAACTGTTGAAGAGACAAATGTGATATATACACAACTATTATTTGACAATCAAAACAAGTACTGATATAAGATGAAGGTGCTTTGTTTCTGCCACTGCAGAAGCTGGCAAATCAATGCACAACTGAAGACTGACTGGACAACATACACAGGAGTACCTGTCCTGATTGCCTGTATGTTCTGCTGCCCTGGTTGGGTTTTGACTCCTTTTCCTTGTTTATTTTAGTGCCTGATATAGAACTCTGGATTATGTCCCCAGAGGACTAGAAGATTCCCCAGAAAGCTGTCTTCTTTCTCCTTCTTTATTGACGTAACTATTTTTCTGGGCACCTTGCTTTCTTTGGTTTAGTTATAGATTCGATATATTGTTATCCTGCTTATTCCCTAGTTCCATATCTTCTGTTAATTTTATGATTAACTATCATTCTTTGGGCTGCAACTCCAGGACACTGAGAAATTACTAAAAAGGTTGTCCTTTGTTTTTTATTTAATAAATACTAATCTTGGGTTGTAAAAATGTTTCCCTTATGAATAATATATATTAGCGTTCTAAGAATATATATAACTTCAGGACATTAGGAATTTCAAATTGAAGTTCAAGGTATAGACTTCCCAGTTGTTAACCAACTTCTTTTACAAGCTACTCCCTCTTACCAGCACCTCACTACTGAAAAACCTGGGGAAACTGAGGGAAAAAGATTCTCCTCTATAATAGAAATGGGGGAACGTTGGGGCACAATTATAATGTAAGGATACATTTATAAAATAGCAAACTTACAGATATTTCATGATCAATTAGAAGTCTCTGAACAAGTTTCTGTTCTACTGTTTCTGCTGAATTCAATTACCTTAACATGGGCAGGGGATATATCTCAGTGGCACAAGCATCCAAGCGCCTGCCTGGCTAGCACAAGATGCTGAGTTCAATTCCCAGGTATCAAAAAAACAAAACAATTGACCCGGATAGTGTCAAGCCCAGCTGCATATCTCTGAGGAACACTGAGTCAAACTAATTGTCTATACCTTAAGGCACCCAAGGCTAATTCAAGGATCCCTCCCAGAATGTTCCTATACCATGGTAATACCTTTAACTAGGCTCACTCTGTAAGGGCCCCCTCCCCTTGTTTCCAGAGTGTTTCCATATTATGATAACCTGGATTACATAGGGAGTGGAAAGCAAGCCTGAAACACATAGTAAAACTCCACCTCAAAAATGCTAAAGTAAAAATAAAACAAACACAAAAGATGCCTTTTGAGGTAGAAAGCAAAATTATCTGCTGAGATAGGTGGCAAGTGGTACCTTAGTGGGATTTAAGGAGTGGCTCGGTGAATATTCAGAATTCATTCTAAAGTGTTACGTAAATGAATTGATAGGTAATTCTGAGAAGAAAGCTGAGGGTGGAGAAAATGATTTTAAAGACTGTTATCTTAGAGAAACTAATGGCATGGCTTAGTCTATGTCTGAAGTTCTCAGAACCAAGGTGTAACTCTCAATCTGAGATCACATGACTAAAAATATGGTCAAGGAACTGGTTCTGATGGCCAAGTCTGAAATCCTCAGAACCAAGGTATAACTCAATCTGAGTGTATAGGCCTAAAAATATGGCCAAAGAGCTGTTCTGATGGCCAAGTTAAAAAAAAAAAATGGTGTCCTAATTCTAGGACAAAGAACAACAAATTGCATTTCTTCTACCAATTCTTCTATCCAGGTTTCAGTAGACTGTATAGACCCACAGAGATCTGTAAAGGGAGATCTCCCTTACTTAGGCCCATTTACTCAGATCTCTTCCATGGACAACCTCACAAATGTTTCCAGATATAATGCTTTACCAACCATCCAGGTATATTTTAATCTAGCCAAACTGCTAAGAAGGCACAGCAAGATACTTTTCCATAAGCTAGCGGTAAGGAGGACATTTAATACTTCTTATTTTTACATACCTGATAAATGTTTGAGACTCTTTGGCACAGTGTCAGGAGAGAACCTCAACATTCTAAGATTTGAAGAACTATGTTCTGATTCTCTGATTGGCTCATAAGGAATAAATTCAGGCAATATACATGGAAAAGGATAATTAATGCCCAGATTAGAATGCCCCACCTATGAAAAGAGAAATGAAGAAAATAAAATTATAAGATTGCATACTTCAACCACTAACAATCAAACCTCACTGTTTAGAAATGTACACAAAACAGTTACTAACAGTTATGTGAGATCATTTTATCAACCTCTCAAATTCATACACATGTTTGGTCAACTCTGCTTTATACAACGTTCTATAATAGGCCTAGAAATTTTCAGTTACCTAGTTTGCCCTTTAGATCAACAATACTAAAGGATCTAAACCACAATTTTATTCTTGATAAGTGCAAGAATTTTTTTAGGGATAAGTGCTGTGAGGAGGAAAGAATGAAAAGTAAAGATGGAGCATATTTTTAGATACAAATAGAAGAAAAATGCAAGCATTATATTACTATAAAAATGACAAATACTAAAACTCTTAAGTCCTTGAACTTCTGAAACAAAAGTAGTAGAGGGTTGGGCATGGTGGCACATGGCTGTATTCTCAGTATTCAGAAGGCTGAAAGGACTGCCATGAGTTCAGTGACAGCCTGTTCTACACAGTGAGTTCAAGGCCAGCCTAAGCTACATAGTGAGACACTATTTTTAAAAAAAGAAAAAATGGGGAATATAAGTTGATACAAATTCTGAAAAAAGTTCCGAAAGTTCCATCAGATTCCATTAGGTCCTTCATAGAACAGAAATTAGAAATCATTATTGGTAACATAAATCATAAATATGCACCATCTTTCACCAAATTCACAATATTCTCATATAAAAATAATATACCAATTTTAGCTCCATAAAAAGATTAGTACAGCTATTCTGTCTCAGGTAGGAGTTTAAACTGTCCTCTTTTTTTCAATTCTCACGAAGTTAGCAGGGTACAGAAATGAATGCTCTGTGTCTATTATCCATACAAGTTTCCCCTGACCAGTAGTCCTCAATGGAAGATCATGTACCCCACAAAGAAACACTTGGCACTGCCAGGAGACATTTTTATTATCATCAGCTGGGAGAGAGAGGTTGATTGGTATCCACTGAGTAAAAATCAGAGATCTGCAAAACATTCTAAAATATACAGGACAACCTCTAAAACAAAGAATTATCCAATTTGAAATTTGATACCAATGATAAAAAGCCTTGCCCTACATATAGCACGAAGTTTTAAATAATTATTCTACTTTTAAAAGAGAAAATTTTTTAAGTGTAGCTCATTTATGTCTGTGTGAGTCTGTGTGAGTGTGTGTGTGTGTGTGTGTGTGTGTGTGTGTGTGTGTAGGTATGTGTGTGTGACAGGCACTTATTATAGAGAATGTGTGTTGTATGTTTTAAATTTTGCCCATGGCTATCAAATTTGGGACAAAAAAAAAAACAAAACTCCTACATTTTGACTCTAATAAAATTACATGATATCCATTTTAAAATGTAGAATTATTACAGTAGGTAATACAAAAGAAAATTTAGGAAAGGAAGTATATTTAAAGAAATCAGATCTCAATTATTAATTAAAAATGTGAGAAGCCAGGAAAAACATGTCAAGATTGTTTATTTTCCTGTTTTAAATTAACAATAAAGAAAGAACTAAAGATGATTTAAAAACAAGAGAAATGACTAACATTTCTACAAGAATGTGTATACAGTATATGATATTGGGGGAAATATGAGCTACTTGGACAAAGGCAAGCTAAATTTGAGATGTTTACAATATTCCCCCAAAAACTTCAAGCAAAATGCCATAAGAGCCTAACTCAGACTTAAAAATAAAGGTTATAATCATGCAGTGATAAGAGTTTTAAGTCTTGAGAAGAAACTATAGACTGTGAAGGGTGTAAAAGAAAATAGATAAAATGAAAAGAAGAAAATGTAAGGCTCAAACCTTATAAAATATTTATATTTAAGTGGCCAAAATGAGGTGTGCTAAATTACTATTTTATTACATGTTGTTACCAAGATAAAGGAGAAACCTGCTGCACATGGATTCTTTATGTAAAAGATACAGGAGTGCCAAAAGATGACCTTGCCAAGACACCAACAGAACTCACTAAGACTTACGGTCTACAAAACATTTCCTTTATGCCAATTTGTAACAATTAATGGAGCATATTCCTGGATATCAGATGAAGATTTGGTTTAAGTCAAAAGTTGACATTAGGGAATATAAATGGGCCTTTTACTTTCATTAGCATTTTTTAAAATATTCCTTTCCCCACCCATAAGAACTAGTAAATAGATAAACTTACAGGCTTTTTAAAAGTGCTCTCCTCCTCAGGTGGTTGTTGTAAAGTGGGCTGCCAGTGCTGGGGGCTGTCACAATCAAGCAAATCCTCTGAAGTTGCTAGGTGAACACACTCACCAGTCACATCATGTTGATCACATGACTAAGAAATAGTAAAAAATTAAATAAAAACAATATGTTATGTTCATGTACCAACCCCCCAAGAGGAATGTAATCATTATGATACTACAAGCATGTACCAATAAAATATAAAAATTTTTAGGAAACAAATAATACTATCTCCTAAAGCAATATTGGAAAAGATCATGTATCCCACAATCATTATTTTCTTGTACTTCACCTCTCTTGGTAGTTCAGCAACACTTTCACTGCACACAACAGCTTTTTCTTCTAGGCAACAGCATTCAGTATCATCATCCAGAGTAGTGACATCAGAATCAGCCTTCCCCTGCAGGCCCTCTACAAAACAGGAGTCAGTTTGCATGACAGTATGTACAGTGAAACTGGACTCAGTTCCCATAGGCCAAAGAATTTCATCTTGGCTTCTGTCAGCTTTGAGCAAGGTCTCCTGGCCAACTGTAATTAATGATGCATCATCAGTCAGCAATAACTATCTTCTGACTTTGTATCGCGTGCCACAAAGTTTGCTGAAAAGCTGTTTCCTACAGCTTCAGGTGGGCCTTTTAGGGCATCACTAGAGTTTACGTCTTGACAAAAATTACAGTCTTAGAAATCTGCAACTTCTTCAAAGATTTGCTGCTTTAAATCTTGTGAAACCAAAGACTCTGAAGCTGACACTTTCATTAAGTAAATAATGTTTGAAGAGTCTACCTTCTCTGAAGGTCAAGAATAGAAACAGACTTTATCTTCCCAATGAGAAGGAATGGTTTATTGCCTAAGTCACACTGAAATAAAGTTGTGTTTTGCCAAGACCAAGAACCTGCTTGTAAGATTTTTCACTTAAAGAAGCAGATGACTTAAGCTCTAGTGTGACAGAAAGTGACTTACTGAGCATTTTCTGAGGTATATTAGGGGGCGATTTTAAATTTGGATACCAATATAAGAAGCTAGCATCATCGTCTTTCTTATGTAACAATGGTTCTGAAGCTGCTGGTTCAAACACCTTAGTAGTTGACAGTTTGGATGGTTAAGCTTATCAAAGAGCAAGCTTTCATCATTATAATAATTTAATGGGGGAAATCTGGATTTTTTGGCTCTCTCCTCATGGCTTTCATCTTTTAAAGATTTACTGATCAGGAACTATAAAGTTCCTAATACATTTTATCTCTGAAATTCTAGGGTGTACCTCTGAAGATACCGGATTATTTTTAGTCTCCTTTTGTTTAAAATATCGACATAATTCTTTCTGCAGGCCTTCATTTCTTTTATAACCCTCCAAAGAATGTGTGTTTTGTTTCAATTCATTCTCAGATTGTACCCTTAAATAATCACTCTTAAAATAGTGACTATCAGAGATCAAGGGAACTCCCTTTCCTTCTCTTTCCAACAAACACTGCAAAACAAAATATGTTATTATTATGAGCAGCACCATCATGTGGAACAGAAACCAGGTCCTTACTAGTTAGACATGCTTTCTGCTCGCTGTAAAGATTTCCAACATTGCAAATCTGAACAAGCAATAAAACTGTCACTTCTTTTAGTAACTCCATTTTTATCACTAATATCAGATAAAGCAGAAACTGAAACCTGATCCTTACCAGCCAAAACGCTTTCTGGCTGCTGTATTTTTTTATGTGTCTTTCAAAACATATATGAATAAAAAGTATCATAATTATCATAGTGTTCGGGAGTTTTCAGTTCATTGACAGTATCAGATAAAATATTGTCTTCATTACTCTCTTGTTCAGAGGATAAGCAGAGTACAGAGCCCCAACAGTTGTGTTACCTGTAATTGAGTGCTGAGATATACTAAGGTTAATGAAGTCTGGAGGTACTTCTAAGGTAGCCTGGAATAAAGCTTCACTAACTTCTGATGGTCGAGAAAACCATTCAGCGTCTTCAGACTTGTCAGGAATTCCTCTGAAAATATACAATTATATATAAATAACCCCTGAAAAACATTTAACTTTTAAGTGTTAACATAAAATGCAAAACTAGTATTTCACTAAAATCAAATCTATTTGAAATTTTGTTTTAAAAGAAATTCTAATTTCAAATATCTTTAAAAGAAAGTGGTTAAGACTGATCAAAGCAAAATTTTTGTAACCAGATAAACCAGCTCAATCACCAGCATCTGAAGACACTGATAAGTGTCTTACACTTCTCCTAAAAAACAGACAAAATCTGATTTTCATATACCCATAAAAGTCTTTAAATGATTAATTCAAAATAGTCTGTCAAGCCTTACTATTGTAACTGTTTGGTTTATTACCTACTATGATTTATTATTCATTTAACTCACATTAATCACTCACTGGTCATTTATTATGCTTATAAAAACCACTCAAGAAGTGGTAACTCCCAAAAGTACAACAGCATTTGCATTATATACATAGTAACTTAATTACTGGCAGAGAAGCTAATTGTGCAGTGATTATAATATAATAAAAAGCATAAAGGCAGGGGTGTTTTTTATTTTATAAACATCTATAGTTTCTAATTTAGGGTAGATTATTGCTTCAGTTCTAAAAGAAAACTTACATTCTTGGATAATTTCAAATATGTTTTGAAAAATTTTAATTTTCTCTGATGATTATTCTAAAAGACATCAACTTGGAATTTCTGTTATAAACATCTCAATACTTCATATTTACATATATTACAGAGAGCTCTAGACTTGACTCAATAATAGCTGACCAAAATGAGAGTGCAGAACAAGTAATATAAAAATAAGCAGTGTGTTTCTTTGTTTTGCAGGAGAGTGAGAAGGAAGAAAGGGATGACTGCAGCACATGGAGAGGTTTATAGTAAAACCTTGGGCTGGGGACAGAGCTCAGTGGCACATTGCCAGCATATCAAGTGTGAGATCCTGAGTTCAATTCCAGGTACCCAAAAAAAAGAAAAAAAAAAGGAAAATTTTGTGTGCCTCATTGTTAAATATGCCTGAAATGCTAAAATATATTGAACATCATTTTTAAATAAACTATGGTCACCTAACACAGCTCCAAATATACATTACTGTACCAAATTAGTAAGCATCATTTAGGGCTTTGTTACTTTTAGAGGCTGTGCTAAGGATATCGAACCCCTATTCCAAAGCCCCACCTTCACATCAAGAAACAACAACATATAACAATAAAGAATAGAAAGGCTAGAAGCAAATAAATCATCCTACCTCAGAGGTGCAAAATCAAGTTCACTTTGGTGAAATAAGGAATCAGGCCCAAACTCTTGGTCTTGTGCCAAACATGTCAGCAAAGGCAAATCAGGAGAAGCAAAGCTATCCTGTATGACTGTAATGTTTCAAATACAAAAATGCTGAGCAATCTAAAAATGGATTGTTTCTTACTCATGTCAATACTTCATATAAATATGCTATCATCTGGAGTTTCTATAATCACTAGAATAATAACGTAACAATATCAGCTAGCCTGACAAGATCTAGATACTTAACGAGCAATATTTCATTTCATTTAATCAAAGACAACCTTGAAGGACTGATACTACTACATCTACCTTATAGATGAAGAAATATGATTACGAAAGGCATTAAGTAACGTGTCTACATCCAAACAGCTTAAATGCCAGATTTTTTTAAAAAGCATTCTAACTTTTTAGCAACTGCTAAACTATTTAAATCTTTCTTAACTGTTATAAATGTTTCTCAATCTTAAACAATATAAATACCAGCATACTTAATATCAAAGTGCGATCCACGGGTTCCTAGGCCCTAGGATATTCTTAGCGGGCACCTGCAGTAAAAACTGTATTCAAAATAATATTAAAATTTCGTTTACTTTATTTGCTCTCAGTCTCTTAAAAGGGAACAATGGCACTCAGGAACAGAGGCTACATCAAGTTTGATACATCAACAGACTGAAGACAGAAGCAGGTGAGAATTCTGTTATGTTCTAAGTCACATATTAGAATTATTATTAAGTAAAACAAGGGCACTTCTAAACATTTTTCTTTTAGAAAACTTATTCTTCTAGAAACTACTGTACTTCAGGCTAATAGGAAAAGGACTGGTTTTTGTTTTTAAATGAATTAATCTTTTAATTTCTTGGTTTTAAGTTCTAATATGGAAAATACCAGTAAACCCGCATAAATATAAATAGAAACTCTATGGAATTGTAACTTTATGTTATCAATAATGTGAAAAGGATTCCTGTTACCTAAAAAGTTTAAAAACTACTGCTTTAAAGAAAAAAAATTCTTGTGATTTCTGGCAGCTTATAATGTCCATAAATATACACAAATTAGAGCCTGAGAGTACCGCTCAGTGGTAGTGCACTCATTCTTATTCTTTACACCGCCTGTACAACTACAAAACAAAAAATTAAATATTAATGAAAATAAACTTTACTTCAAAACCAGCTACATTCTACTTAAAATTAGTTTAATTTAATGAGTGATAAGTTGCTTTTTCAATATGAATGTAATAATGCCTGTTATAGTACACTTTCTTGCTTTTGAAATGCCTACAGTAGTGTGTACAAAGTGAATCACCAATCTCCTTGAAATTACTGTAAACCAAAGGTTTACACAGTCCTTCACTTTGTGCACTGTCCCACTCCCACTGCTGTCAAATCTTGTGTACTTTCCCCATCATAATTCCTCACACTCTTGTTTTAATCTTTAGCCTGCCTGCTTCCCTTTAAAACTGTCAACTCTATGACTGCTTTATCCACAGCCATATTTTCAGTGCCAAACAGAATATCTGCTACACTTAGTAGGAACTCAAACAGAATCATCTACTAATCACTTGAGAATAATTTCTTAAGTTTAATTGACTGATTTTGCAAATTAGATGAGAACCGAATCAAATTTCCCCATAAAGTCAGCAGTGAACCTAACCACTGTATTGGTTCTTTTCCAATGCAGTTTGTAACTAAAATTGTGGAAAGACCTAAGTTCGTGAACCAAGCAAGGTACCACTATACATAGAGACAATCTATCTCAAAAAAATAACATAAAATTTTAAAATTGAGCTAGCACTAACCAGGCTTATTATCTTAAATAATTATTTAAGCATAACTAAGAAATATCAGGTAATAAGTAAGCTATAAATTGCCTTTCAAAATCTCCTTGTTATAAAATATTTAAGAATATTTCAGAGTAGAGCTAGAGTGTTAAGGTGAATGGAAAAAATACATTTGCTAATGGTACAGGCCAAAATTATACTTAATAATTCTAAAATGCACAGCATAAGCATGTTTCTGAGTGTTGGGAAGTTGTAAATATCTTATTGACAATGTCTTCTTCTTTCAGCTTTCAACTACTACTTGTCACTTCACGTTACAATAGGTGCTGACAGTCTGGACATCTCATTTATCTAACCATTCTGGCACCAGTCATCATCAATGACGTTTGCCACTGCTGAGAGCCTAAATACTACAATGACTTTATTTATGGACAATTGAATTTCCTTACCCATCAGATCCAGACATCTAGTAATTTTAAGCATTCTATTTTATCTGTTTTAGAAGTTACATAGTATTATCTCTTAGCTAGTGTTAAAATCTTTCTATTACAATTTACTCTTACATCCTTCAAGACATAAACTCATTTTGCAGTATGTTTTTATACATCCTCTTTTAGAAAATCTTTAGATATATAGCATATATATATACACACTCCTATACCCTCTTAGCATAACAATCTTTCAAAGTTTCCTCTTTCATCTATTATCATAGCCATCTCTTCCCATAAAAGTAATCTAATTTCATTAGTATTTTTCTTCCTATGTGGGCCTAAATTTGACTTTACTGAGTCACATCAAAAATACTTTGATTTGGAATTAGGATATGTTTGAAAAGAACTGGTGAATTAAATTCTGTTATGGCTTGTGTCTAGATGGTCCCCTCAAAGCTGCATGTGGTCACAGGTAGGGTGTTTTGGAGGTGACTGAATCTAGAGTGTGTAATTCTGAAATTAAGTGTGTGATTTTGGGATCAAGGGTGTGTAATTACTAAATTAGTCCACTGACTGGTTTGGTGTAGTTGGCATTCCCTGGGCGTGAGTGCTACTCACCCTAAGGGCATGTAGCCTGGATAAAATATAAGGGACAGAAAGAGGACTGCTATTTACTGCTTGCTGATTCCCTAATTTGCTATCTCTCAGGTTTGTTTTGCCCTGAACTGTTTCTCCTCTGCGATGCTCATCTGCCATGCTACCCTGTTTGGGACCCCACCAATTATGAAAAGATATCTCTATGAACTGTGAGCTAAATAAATTTTTCCTCCTTTAACTTTGGGTGTTGGGTATTTTGTCTCAGCAACAACAAAAAAAAATTAACTAAGACAAGTCCTATTCATGCTTCTCTTCAATTTCTTTAAAACCATTTTTATGGCTCAATATCTTGATAACATGAAAAATATTTAGTTTAACTTTTATAAAGACCTAACAAATCATTCTGGAAACAAAGGAAACCAATCAGAACTACTTCAAATAAACCACTTAACCTCTCTATCTCAATTTTTTAGTCTCAAATATGAGAATATCAGTTTTAATGAATTCTAAGAATAAAACGAAGTAAGGACATCTGTTTTTTGCTTTTTAGGGAATATGGAGTCTCTACTGCTGAACAAACAAGTAGAAGAATATATGGTTTACCCCAAAACAACTCTATCAATTCAGGACTAATGGGGTATTATTCTCTAAAGAGGAAGTTATCATCTTTCTGCTTTTCGTGAGTAGTGGGGGTGTGAAAAAATGAGGGATAACTACATACTTAATATAACTAGACCACATGGCCAGAGCAGAAAACTAGAAATAGGCCTATTTTCTTTAGTAGGGCTCTACAAAGTGCAACTCAAAAAGAATTTCGTTAACGGGGATTTAGCTCAATGGCGTAAGTGTCTTCCTGGCAAGCACACAGTCGTGAGTTTGATCCCCAGTTTAAAAAAAAAAAAAAAAAAAAGAATTTAGTTAAGTGCAGGATTTAGCAGTCCCCCAAATTTTTTAACAACATTGTTTAACAACAATATGAGGTACTACTTCTCATTTAAAATGCAAAGATATTACCTAGCAATGGAGAACATAAAAGATTTCTGCTTCGTTCCTTTACTTCATCTTCTGATTGGATCAGTAAATCTTCTTCCAGAGAGGAAAAGTCTGTCACTTCATTTCCTTTCAGGTCCACATTAATCTCCATCTGAGAAGCATTCGTGGTTTGGTAAGAGTCTCTTTGTTGAGGATGGCATTGCCAAGATTCTGTTTTCTGAAACAATAATTTTAATGGAAAACTATTTTATTTAAAGGAAATTTTTAAAGTCATTAAATGAAATGATATACATATAAACGTTTACATTAAAAAGTCCACTCATATGGCATACATTGTTCTGTTTAATGACATTTTTATCAAAGTGTCAAAAGAGTAAAGCTCTAAATTCTCACAGTATGAACATTTCAGACCTCTTTCTGTTGTATCCATTTCTTAAAGTGCTGACAAAGCACTGATATTTCTGCTAGATTTTAAATTAGTTCTCATTATTAAATCAATAAATTTGTTTCTACCCAATAAAAAAATTTTAGTTTGATTATAATAAAACTGAAAAACAAATTGCCAAACTTGTGACCAATTTACTGAATTTTATTACCTATCACATTTTCTAGAACACTTCTGGCTCTTCTCAGTATACAACACTATCATATCAGCCATGAAAAGGGATACACTTGCTCTTTCAAATATTTACTCCTATATCAGTGCATATTTTAGAGTAATACTTCTCAAACTGTGGTAAAGGACCATTTTTTCTTACTTTCAATTCATTACAAACTAAAACTTTATTAGAGTACTTATATAAATTAGCAATAACTAATTTTAAAAATAGTAAAAACAAGTAATAAAATAAAATAAAAAAGGTATTATAACTCCAAAATACCTACATGTTTGTTTTCAAGTTCTAAAAAAATATTACCCTGTCAAACTCAGAGAAAATTTCTAAATACTTCCTCTCAATTTCTGTATTTATCTCTTGACAGACCAGTAACAAACAATTCATGAACTGACACCATCCCCAGACACACTGAGTAATAATGATGAATTATGGCTAAATTAAATACTAAAAGTAACTCATTTTAAAAGGTACTTCCCTTTCAAAAATGATATTAGCTAATAATTAAGCATTTTTCCTATTCTGCAATAAAAATACTCCTTGTCATTTTTAAAATAATTTAACTAAAAACTAGTAACTTAAATCAAATTACACTATTTTATCTTTTTCCTCTACACAAAAGAATACCAGTAAATTTCCTTCTATTAAAACACTTTCATATGTACTATTTGGTAGTAGGAGGTCAGACCTTTTCCCCCCAGTACTGAAGAGTGAACCTAAGCCTTCACACTAAGCTACAACCTGAGTTCTTTATTTTTGAGACAGTATTCCTAAGTACTTTGACCAATAAATAAATAAATAAATAAATAAATAAATAAATAAAACCTTATTTGCAGAACTTTCCAAATATGGGAAAAGAACTCAACATAGTGGTAAGTAAGGGAGATGGAATCCCCAAGTAGCCACATCCAGAGAACTTTTCCATCACACACCATAGTCAAAATCTGAGATCTAACACTAAGATATTAAAAGCTAAGACATTAAACTAACACTAAGACATTTAAAGCTAAGACATTAACACTAAGACATTAAAATTTAAAAGCTCTTTGGAGATAAGCAACAAATCACTTATAAAGGTAAAACTATTACAATTATAATAGATTTTGCAACACAAATGTTAAAGGTCAAAAGAGCTTAGCATAAAGTGCATCAAAGTCTAAAAGAAAAGACTGACACATCCTACAAAATTATCATTTAAAACTGATTAGAGAAATAAGGTCTTCTTATCACAAAAAGCACATTAAGAAATTCATGATCAACGACCAGCACTCCAAAAAATTTTCAAGATTATTCTAGAAAGAGATAATGAAGCCAACAATATTAAAAAGTCTAATAGCACAAACACACCAGGAAAGGTGAACACGTAAACAGAACAGAAAAAAATCAGCAACTGGAAAATAATGCAATGACAGGAATAACTCAACTCTTTTCAGTATTAATTCTCAATGTGAATGGTCTTAACTCCCCAATCAAAAGCCACAGATTGGTCAACTGGATCAGAAAACAAAACCTAACATCATGCCTTATATAAAAAACATTTAATACAAAACAAAAAAGTTCAGCCTAAAACTCAAAGAACAGAACAATTTTCCATGCAACAGGACCCTGAAAACAAGCAGAAATAGATTCACAGACTGTGGGGAAAGAGACCCAGGCTTCACAAAGAGGTGGTCCCCACCTCAAAACTAGCACCATGTGCAGGCTGCTGCCAGAGTGGGGACAGCCATACCCAAGCCTCTCTGCATGAGTCAGCAACACTGGAGGACTGTTGGCGGAAATGACCAGGCCTCACAAGAAGGTGGTCCCTGCCTGGAAACCATATCATTTTCATTGTTTTCTTGGGTGCGTTTTATTCTCTTTTGTTTTGTTTGATTATATTAAATCTGAGGGCATAAGCAGCTATTTAAATGATAGCAAGACATTATGACGGCCATTTTGAATTTACTATTAGCTTATTCAGGAGTCCTTTATTGCATTCATTGTTTGTTTTTATTGTTTCTGCTCTATTTTGTTCTATTCAATTTTCACTATGTCCAACATATTTTGAAGACAACAAGAGGCATTATGGTTAACTATTGCTGACTTTGTAAGGTTTTGAAGTCCTGTATCACTTATACTAGTTTATTTGGATTGGTTTTATATTATTTTATTTTCTTCTGTTTTACCTTCTTTAAAGTGAAATTTTTTTAAAAAGCAGAAATAATTTGCATTTTCAGACATAGTGGACTTCAACTCAAAAATGATCAGAAAAGGCAAAAAAAAAAAGTCACTATATATTGGTTAAGGAAACAATTCAACAGAAAGAGATAACAAGCATAATAAGCATATAAACAATGAACAGCAGCACATTCAACTTCATAAAATATTGCTGGACATAAAAGATCAGATAAACATCAATATAATTACAGTGCGCATCTTCATGCCCGATTGTCACAAATAGACCAGCTAAACAAATAAACAAACAAAAAAAGGTCCAAAGTCAAATTCACCTTCAAACAAATAGACTTAATAGATTACTACAGTATTCCTCCCAACAACAGAATATACAATCTTCTCAGCAGCTCAAGGAACTGTCTCCAAAACAGACCACACACTAGCCAACGACACATGCATAAGTAAATGCAAAAGAATCAATAATTCCATGTGTGTTATCAGATCATAACACAGTAAAACTAGAAATCAATAGCAAAAGAAACTACAAAAACTATGCAAACACATGGAAATTAAGCAATATGCTCTTGAATAATAAGAGGGTACAGAACAAATCAAGAAAGAAACTGGATAGCTCCTAGATTCAAACAATAATGCCAGTGCCATGTGTGAGCTGAAGCCCACCACAATGATCCCCAACTAGATGTGCAGCCATGACACTTTGCTTGGAACCCCACCCAGTGTCCCCAAACAGTGCAGGACCTCTAGCTCAGCACTGGGGTCCTACCCAGCAACTTCCAGATAGCCTGGAGCTGCCAAGTGTGAGCTGCAGGGGGCCACAGCAATCCCTACCTAGCTGTGCATCCACAGGACTCTGCTTGGAACCTGGTAGGCCCCCACTCAGCATCCCCAAACAGTGCAGGACCTCTAGGTCATCGCTTGGCTCCTGGCTAGACCCTGCCAGCGACCTCCAAGTAGCCAGAAACTGCCGCCCATGAGGTGAAGCCAGCCACAGTGACCTCTACCTAGCTGTGCAGCCACAGGACTCTGCTTGAAACTTGGGAGGCCCCCACCCAGCTTCCCCAAATAGTGCAGGATCTCTAAGCCATCACTCAGGTAGGTCCTGGCTGGACTCTGCCCAGCAAACTCAAGGTAGCCAAGCAGCCACTTATTAGCTGAAGCCCACCACACCTAACTGTGCAGGAATTGCTCTTTGCTCAGAACATGATAGAGCCACATCCAGAGTCCCCCAAGAAACCAGGTAGCTTTGGTGTACCACATGGTATAAGCTGGAAGCCTGCCCGGGATACTCCAGATACCATTCAGCCTTACTACACCACTCAGAACCAATTAGGGCCCTGCCCAGTGACCTCAAGCAGCTGTGGAGCTTCTATGAACCACATAGAGAGTGCTAAAGACCCACCTTGTGCACACCTCCCATGTGGGGAGCCTTTAAGTGCCACTAGGGACCCAGGAAATACAGAAAAATGACAAAATGAAAGAGCAAAACACAATCTCAAACATCTAGGCCATCCTGCACATTCCTTGAAGACATAGGCATAGAAGAATGTGTAAGCCATACACCTGAAATTTCTGAAATGATAGCAACTGAAGTAAAGAAACAACTCCATGAAGCTGTAAAGAAACTCAGATCAGAGATAATCTCCCACATAAAAGAATAAATGATAAACACAATAAACAAAATGCTGAACATATCTAAAAGAAGACATAGTTAAAAAAAAAATCAAGGAGCACTGCAAAAAGATGGAAATCTTACGTGAACAACATAAGGAAGCAATGGAATGCCTGAAACAGATTCAAGGATATATCCAGGAAATAAAAAATTCCATCGTTGGAGGCTTCCAGTAAAGATGGCAGACAGTTAAGAGCAGATTAGAAGCTTCCTGAGACAGACAACTCAGATGCCAAAATAATACAGCGTGGGGAGTCCCAGACAGAGGGAGATGGATCCTCTAGACCCAGGAAGAAACTAAAGCAAAAAGAATCAGTCAAACATGCAGTCTCGGAGCTACTATTGAGGCAGCTAAGATTCTGTGGTCTCGCACACTCAAATTCCCACCGCTTCAACTCACTGGAACCACAGTCACACTGAAGTGCAGTCACACTGAAGTCAGAGATCGGTGAGCCCAACGGAGAATAGAGACGGCAAGGGACCTGCTTCGACCTGTGGTGAATGCTGGGAATAAAATCCTTCCAAGGGAAAGGGGCACCAACGGGACAACATTTTGGAATCGGGCAGGACTGGCAAGAACAAGGAACAGCAGTGACTTTAGTCAGTTGTTCCCTTCCCAGACAAGATTGGTAGAGTATGTTTGGCCTGGGTCACGCTCCCAGCTGAAACCCAATAAGCTGTCCCAAACCAACTCCCTAAAGCACAGAGCACACTAACACAGTGAAGGCCTCAGCAGTTTAACTGACCAAGAGGGGAGGA